TATTGATTTCTGCATAACCACTTATGAAACAAATACATAACAAAAGATAGACTAAGTCACCTTTTTGATGAGCTCACTACTGGCCCCATCCTTCTCAGTCTTCAGACTGAAGGTATCAGTAAATAAATAAAAAAACTGCCTTCCAGGTGAGAGCGAGGGAGGGAGGTGTTGGGTGAACATGATTAGGAAAGGAGGTTCTGGAAAAAACCCTTCTGTAGCACTTACCACCATCTGATCACTATATATTTACCTATTTATTTGATTGTTGTTTATCTTACCCAGCCAGAATCTCACAGCATGAGGGTTCGGACTTTGATTATTGCTGTATTCGCAGAGCCAGATCAGTGACCAGAATATGGAAGGTGTTCATTAAATATCTTAGCGGGTTATTGTTAAAAGGATGCCTTGTTGGCAATACTCCATCAAATACATTGGGGCAGAGGATGTTGTAGCCAAGGGTATGATGTCCATGAACTTTAATAGGTGTATCTCTATTGCAGAAATACACATATCTTTGTCTTCAAAAATTTTATTTTTTATGTTTGTTACTCCTTTGACCATTGTTTTTCAAGTTGCAGGCTGTGACCCTTTAAATACAGTTCCTCATGTTGTGACGGAACCATAAAATTATTTTCGTTGATACTTTATAACTGTAATGTTGCTACTGTTATGAATCGTAATGTAAATATGTGATATGCAGGATGGTCTTAGGCGACCCTTGTGAAAGGGTCATTCGACCACCAAAGGGTCGCGACCCACAGGTTGAGAACTGCTGCATTAATGAGTCATAAAATCAACCTAGGGAGTGAGATCAACATTTTTTTAATTGGACATAATAGGTAATTTCAATGAATTCAATAGTAAATGTAACTATTCTGTGAAACTTTGCAGGAAATTTATTTTTTTCAGGGTAAATATATATCATAAAACTTTTCAGGTATATTTGTGTGTGTACTGAGCCTAATACAAAATGTATTTCTTAGTGTAGGTCAGAAACATTTGAAAGTTGTTCTGGGACAAAGCATTTGACTCAGAGGTAATAGTCTTTGACATGCAGAACTGGAAACAGTTAAGACATTGGGCCCAACTGTTGTGGCTCAGTGCTGAGTGTCGACATATGAACAAGAAGGTCACGATTCAATTCCCGGTCCGAGTTTCAGGCTCGATCCCCAGTGTGGGGCATGCAGGAGGCAGCCGATCAATTGATGTTTCTGTCGCTCTCTCCCTCTCCCTTCCTCTCTGAAGTCAATAAAAAATAGTTTTAAAAAAATACATTGGTATGAATGGACTCAAAGTGTAAATAGGTAATTTCCTGACTTCAAATAAAGAGGTTATGATGCAGCAAGAGATCCTGGCTCTCTGCGAGTGGGGAGCCTGAGAGAGAAGAGAAAGGGCAGGCTGTCACCCACCTGGATACCTCAGTCCTATTCCATCCTCTGTTTCCCAGATGAGCTGCCTGAGTGAGTGAGATCAATTATTTTTTTAAAATATATTTTTATTGATTTCAGAGAGGAAGAGAGAGGGAGAGAAAGATAGAAACATCAATGATGAGAAAGAATCATTGATTGGCTGCCTCCTGCACGCCCCCTTCTGGGGATCAAGTCTGAAACTCAGGCATGTGCCCTTGACCAGAATCGAACCTGGGACCCTTCAGTCCGCAGGCCGACTCTCTATCCACTGAGCCAAACCAGCTAGGGCAGATCAATTATTAAAGCACTGACCCTAGAGCAGTGGTTCCTGTGTGCCTCGGTCCCGTTTCATCCTCTGTTTCTCAGATAAGCATGCCTGAGTGAGTGAAAGTCAATTATTAAAGCACTTACTCTAGAGCAGTGGTTCCCAACCTTTTTTTTTGGCCATGCCCCACCTCAGTATCTCTAAAACCTGATGTCCCCACACTCCCTGTGACATATAATTCTTATTATTCAAGTGAACAACTCATGTTCACGTGGAGGAAGCCTAAAAGGCCATTAACTTGGTCTAACAAGCTTCCAAAGAACATGGCATCAATGAAAGAGAAAAACAAAAGAATGAAAGGACAATTGAAGTACTGAGGAAGAAACCACTAAGAAATTGTTTAAAAAATAATAATAATATGAAGTGATATGAAAAAAATAGCAAATAAAGTTTCAAAACAAAGAGAACTGAAATGCATAAATATGTCACAATATATATTTATATACTTTGTATGAGGCACCTAAAACCATAAGAAAGGCAAAAAATTCACTGTTAATAACTCATTCTAAAATTGCCCACCCTAAAAATCAAATTGCCCCCCTGTGGGGTGTGTACCCCCATTGGGAACCACTACCCTAGATGCTGGAGGGATTAAGGAATACAAGCTCATCCGGTGCCTAAAGTCACAGTAGGGCTGACCTATACAGTAGGCACAGTGGCTAGGGCCCCTGAGCTTTCAGGGGTCCACAAAAGTGGTTTAGTCTCTTTTTAAAAAAAAGTTTAATCCATCCTCAAGTACATTCATGTTTATATCAATGAAGTTTCAAAGTACAAGTTTTAATACTTAATAGAGTAAGAGGCCCACAAAGGCCAAAGTGCCTGGGGCCCATGAGAGTCCTAAGTGGCTGTGGGAACCAGGGGTTTCAGAAGCATTTGAGGTGCTTGCTGAAAATGCAGATTTCTGGGCACCCTCCATATCTACAGAATCTGACTCCCTTGGGATGGGCCAGGATTTACAGTCTCAGCAGACACCTCAGGTGATTTAAATACCAAAAACAGTTGAAGAACCTCTGCCCTGGAGTAGACCACCATCACCTATCACAGGCTCAAGGTGGGCTTCTTTCAGCAGCGGCTACTTGCTGGGGTCAGTTTGCCCTTCAGATTTACTGAATTAAACCTGCACTGTGCCCTTCTTGTGCCCTGACTGGGAATCAAATCAGAAAACTCTTGGTACTCAGGTCAACACTCCAACCAATTGAGCCATCCTGCCAGGGCTCAGCCGAATAGTATTACTACTCTGAGGATACTCTGATGCTGTCATAGGTAATTGTGGTCTTTCTTAGCAGTGGCCTGTGTTCATCATCAAGCTCTCCTGTATTTGTCCTTGTGGATAAAAATGTTCACCACCACATGACATTTTCCAAGTCTTTTATTCAAAAAGCAGATAAGTGACATATTTCTCTTGATTGGGGATAACTTAACATTTACTGACTGGATCACTATACCTTGGTTCAATGCACCCTGATATTCAGCCTTGCCCTAAGTTAACCAAACCACTGGAGGAACAGCAATAGAGAGCGGGCCTCTCCTTTTTATTTCTTACATTCATGGTCAAGCCCTAGTTGAGATGCCAGTACCCAATCCCCTTACAAAACAAACAACAGCAAGAGAAATGTCAAGATGTCTATGTTAATGAAGCAGCCACTGTGGCCCTCTCAGCCACCTACCTCTACTTGAAGGGCAGGTGCTGTTCTCCCTGGCCAGGGAAGAGCGACCCCTGGTGTCGGAATGCACCATCTGCACAGGCTTTGCTTGGGCATCAGCTCTGACCTCAGCCTACAGAGCTTCAAATGAAAACTAGGATAGAAACCAGAGCCAGAAGGAAAAAGTGGAGGAAATATAAAAGCGGTTCGCAGATTAGCTGAGATGTTCCTGGATTCGTAACATTCATCTAGAGGCCATGTTCTGTCATGAGAAGAACAGAGGCTTGATGACACAGGACCTGATTCTGCTGGCTCTGAGGGCTGTTACCTAGGTGACCGACCTCAGGCAAGGAAGCTTCTTGCACTCTGAGCATCAGTTTCCTCAGCTTTAAAATGGGGATATAATTCTTACCTCACAGGATTGTTTGGGGAATACAATTAGCACTGTATATGAAAGCATCTATTATACTGTCTGGTACAAGCTAAGTGCTCAATAACCAGTGTTTGAGCCTGAAATTTACCTAGGGAAACGTTAAAAAAGAAACTTTCCTTTACCGTCCAACAGATACTGAGTTAGCAAATTAGCTGCTGTGCTGCACAACTCCAGGGGACACAATTCATCTACGCGACAAAGCAGACCACAGGCCTGGGCTGTGCAGGGCCCAGCTGCACTGCAGTCCCAGAGCCCCAACTGGAGTCCCTATGTCTTGGGCTGGCTCATGAAAAACGAAGTTCCCTATCACGGAATCCGTTTGATTTAAGGCAACATGACAATAAGTCAAGGATGTAGAAGAAATGGATAGGAGTCTGGTTAGACCAGTGGTCAGCAAACTGCAGCTCATAAGCCACATGTGACTCTTTGGCCCCTTGAGTGTGGCTCTTCCACAAAATACCAGGTACGCCTGCACGTACAGTGCGATTGAAACTTCGTGGCCCATGAGCAGAGTCGGTTTTCAGCCTGGGCAAGTCTATTTTGAAGAAGTACTGTTGATTTGGGGCTCTGTTGACTAATGAGTTTGCCAACCACTGGACTAGACCTTTTCAGTCTTTTTGTTTATTTGTTTGTTTTTTTGTTAAGCCTCACCCAACCAGGGCCTGGGCCAGGGAGGAGCCTGCAACCGAGGTACATGCCCTTAACTTGAATCAAACCTTGACTAGAATGTGCACCTTTTTATTGGTGCACATTTTGTTCTTTTGGTCCCCAGGCTGACCCTCTATCCACTAGTCAAACCGGCTGGAGGGACCTTTTCATTCTTAATTGGTTCCTGAAACATTTCTGGAAAATCCATTGGACTTCAGGTGCAGGCCTCAGTCCAGGAATAAAATAAAATGAATAAGACACCATCTCTGTCCCAGGAAAGACAGCAGTCCACTCAGTAAGTTGTGCTCCCCACAGTAATATGGCATCCTGACATGGTAACAGCTGTCCCATTTAGTGGCAGCTAAAATTTCATAGCTGTGCCCTTGGCTTTTAAGATTAAGGCTTTCCTTTTGTTCCTAGAAATATAAACCTGTTCTTTTCTTCTACAGATTTGATGTCCGTGGTTGTGGACACACAGTTGTAACTAAATGAATCTAATTTAAATTCTCAAATGTATTGATTTCAAGAAAAGGTCGCTGCAGTTATGAAAGAGACGCTGAAGAAAGTCTGACTTCAGTGACAAGGATCCTTTGATCTTAGAATAAGCGGTTAAGAGAAAAAATCTAAAACTTGTTGTACATAGTATAGATTAGCAATTTTGAACTGGTGTGCCGCAAAAGTTTTTAGAACATACAATACCTGACTAGTCAGGGACGCTGACCTCATTTCCATTAGATTGTCAAGTAAAAAAATGACAACAGCCACCCGGCCGGCGTGGCTCAATGGTTGAGCATCAACCTATGAACCAGGAGGTCACGGTTCAATTCCTGGTC